AGGTAACAGACAGATTTGGGTCTCTGTCAGAGACAGGTTCCCTCTGTCCAGCACAGGGGTTTGTACAGCTTGGGGTTCAGGCTGAAGGCAGCTGGATGCTATCTCGGCATCGTTCCCAGGGCAGGCCCACTTTGCTGCAGTGCTCTTGATAAGGAGTCTTAAGATTCCCGTTCATTTGAGAAACTCTCCCGTGCTCCTATTCCAGACGTCTGCAGGCAATCTCTGGGCGTCTCAATGGCTGCAATCACTCTGGCTTGGACCTGGGCTTTGTCTCCCCCCTCGGTGTTTATGGTCATCGAGCTGCACCTGGCAAGGGCCTGCCCTAGTTGCATCACACTTACTGGCACAAACCCTTACAGAAAGGCTTCGGCTGCAAATACGCAAACAGCTACGTGGCAGCAGAGCAGAACTGATCACCCCGCTAAGCAACAGTCAGGGAGTACCCTGGACAGCTGTTGTATCTTGGCCAAAGCAGCAAACACTGCAAAGCACTAGGGGAATCAAACACAATGTGCAAACAAACCCCAGGAGCCTCACCTTGGGCTCAGCAACCCCACCTGGAACTGGGCTCAAGGCCAGACAAGCACCTAGACCACAGGGGTGAGAGGCATGGATCAAAACCAAAGCAACAAGCCAGGCTCTGTGGAGTCTCTAGTTAGGATTTTCCAGCAGCAGCTTTACTGGAGGATTGTATCTACTGAAGGCCCACAGAGCATTGTCTTGTGATCTCTCTGCGCGGGTGCTGCACTTCGCGGTCTCACATTGCCACGGAGTGAGGGGGAAGAGCTGGGAAGTGTAGAGGGAAGGGTTGCATTGCAGCATCTCACTGCTGTGCATGTGCCAGGGCCTGGGGGTCTGTATGGCAAACCCAGCCCCGCTCGCTGCGCTGGGGAATGGTGCTGGTGATCTGGGAGGTGCGCCGGTCTCCAAGGAGCCCTTTATGCTCAGGACAGCTTCCAGGGGGGTTAGGAGCCCTCATGTTGACAGCCCGCTGGCATTTTTAACACTGTCACATAATGCCCCATCTAAGCCTGCTCAGAAAGTCTAATCAATGCCACTGGCAGCCTTTAGCCCATCTCCAGGAGGGCTCTAGCCTCTGCTAGCACTACCAGAGCTGAAGTCAGTGATGGAAGCGTCTAGTGTAGGCAAGGGAGGGGCAGCCCTAATAGGTGCTGTGCCGCTGGGGTAGCGGCTGTCCCAGTAGATGAAAAGTGGAGGTTGTGGATTGCAGAGCTCATTACTACCTGAAAAGGGCCAGTAGAACTTTGCCAGTTAGCCCCTCTGTGCTAGCCAAATTGTACCTGCAGTGATCCTCTAAGGCACCTGGGAGGGGGGTACATTCTGCGGCCCTGGCAGGTTTGGGGGCATGCTCTGCCAGCCTGTAGGCATGTGCTGTTACGCAATGCTGCATTATGTACAGGAGGTATTTCTGGGGTGGGGAGTGAAACAACTGCTTGGCTCAGACACCACGGCGATGGGCAAATTAGAAATGCCCAGAGAGGAATACAGGAGAGAGATCTGGAAAGTCCTTCAGGATGAAATGCAGAGAGTAAGATTCCCTGAATGTGCCAGCCCTACTGTACAACCCTCCCCCACTCTCCAGCAAGTTGTCTAGCCCAGCACAGGCTTCAGCGTGAATTTCACCCTCTCCAAAAGTGACCCTAACCCCACCCTAACATTAAAGCTGAGAACTTAAAATGCACCAGAGTCAAGAGAGTCAAACGCTAAGATCCTGAGCCCATGGAGCTGGCTCCAGGAGGATGTCATGTGATATGGCAACAAACTGGGCAGTGTAATTACAGCTTGCAGGAGCGGTGTGTTTCAGAGCAGGGGGCTTCGGGAAAAAGACACAGTGGGCACCTCAAGAGAAGCCCAAAAACAGAGGGAATGTGGGAAAAACAAGACTCCTCACTCAGCAATCCCCCATTTTAAACAGCAGTACAAGTCTGCCAGTGTTTGGTACAGATACGTCCGGTGGGGATAAAACTCAGACAAGGAGGAGGCGGTAAGAAGAGAAGATGCAGAGTAACAGGAAAAGGTTCCTAATAGTGAGATATGAGGATCAAGGGAAGCGGTGGCAGCTCCATTGTACAGAAATCCTGCCATGGTGCTTGGGGCGTGAGCCCATCTTGGCCTCTCTCGCTTCTCTTCAGGGAGAAGAGGGAGAAGCCATTCACCTCACAGGGAAGAGGGAAACCTGGAGTGCAGCTGGTTCAGAGAGCCCCTGGAAGTGGCAGCATTTCTCTGGGTCTGGATTGATTTGCTGCAGCGTGGCAGGAACTGGCCAAGAGGAGAGGTAGCCAGTCTGCATTGGAAGCCAAGGGAGAAGCAGATGCCTAGCTGGGAGCCTCAATTGCCATTTAGGGTTTGTAATAAGGCGAGCTCTGTTCTGAACTGAATTTGTTCCTCTATAAGGAAGCAGAGGCGGATGGTGCCTTCGAACCATAATGAATACAGGAAGTCTCCCCTGCCCCTCCAGAGCTTGTCCCCTTCCCCGTGCAAGGTGCTGGCCGGGGGGCATGTTCTGCAGCTGCAGAAGGGAATCCCACCCGGTGGTGTGTGTCCGCTTGCTATTACAAACGCTGCAGAGAACTTCTCCTTGAGCAGCAGCTGCCCGTTTCCCATTGTTACTTTACAATCTCCATTGCGTCATCCTTCAACATCCCCAAACGCACCCCCAGAAGCCTCCACTCCCCCCATTAGCTTCAGAGCAGAATGATTTCCTGCCTGGCAATTACAAAGCAACGCACCAAGACCGGCCCTTCATTTGGGTCCTGCCCAGTGCCTCACAACTGTGGCTATGGGGAGGCAGCTGGGCTTCTGCCCTGCTCAAAGCATGGAGCGCCTCTCCTGAATGCACAGTGGCCCGTTACCCCACCGGCACATTGCAACCCAGCAGCAGCTCTGAGCAGGAGACGTGTTCGTGCTGAGAAGCAGACGCCAATGTCTAGCAGTAGCTGGGAGCCCACACAGGTGAAGAGGCCAATCCTACATCAGGAGTGGGTCAAGGGGAAGCTACGCTATTTGTCAAGAGAAAAATAAGGGGAAGGGAGGACTGTGTGGGGAACAGAGAAGGACAAAGGTGATCAGAGGATAACCTTCCAGAAGAGAGGGCTGGTAGCCATGAGGCTCTCAGCTGCTCCAGGCCAGTTTCGCTAACTAGAATGCCAAGTCCCTTGCTTTGGGTAAGGGATTCCAGTGTACAGTTATAGTAACTGCTGGAGTTGCCATAGAACGAAACTGAAAGGACAAAAGCTCTTGTCACACCAGATATTCTCGTTCATTCCTCCCCGTCGCCCGTGCCCAGTCGCACCGACCCACCCCCACGCCCGCTGCCGTCACTCAACTGCATTTCAGGATTACTCCACAGCAGGAAGTGGTGTAAAGTGGCCTTGCTTAAAAAGAATTCTAAGCTTAGTTCCAAGTGTGCCTTTGGGGCTGCGTTTAAGTGGCAGGGCCAATCCCCCACATTCAGAACCCAGGGGCTAGCCCCCAACTATCCCCACAAGACGATTAAAAACCACCACACATTTGGGGTTTTCAGGTCACACTGGTGACACTTTCAAGCTGTCCCCTGCAGCCACGAGGGCTAGAAACAGCTTCATTCTAAAGCGGAGATTCTCACATAACCCCATGACGCCAGGAGCCGAGGTTTTAAAGTAAACACCAAATACCACGAGACCTGTGATACAGTGGCAAGAGTTGGCAGTGCTGGTGCCTGAAGTATGGTGCCCTGCCCGGGGGAGGGAACCAACAGTCGCTCACTAGCCTGAAAAACAGGGTCAGACCAATGAGTCTCTCACTACCTGGGAATATTCCATGACACGTGATTGAGCTGGTGGGACCCAAGAGCACTCAGAAACATACCTACTTCTAGCAGAACAGCTCTCTCGGTGAGCTGCAGTGCCGAGATCACAGGTCAGCCTGGCTGGACTGGACCAGACTTAACCCCACTCCCAGGCTGCGGTCCCCACGTGCTTTGATGAGTGGTAAGAGCTGATGGGAGGCTCCTGGGCACATGCAAGAGGGACTAAGACTGCATTCGAAGTTAGCTGGGTGCCCCTGCAGGGCATAGTGGGTCCTGCTCCCGCACCCCACAGGGAGGGTGTTAATATCTACTGGCACTTTAAGGGCTGGTCCACACTAACCCCCCACTTTGAACTAAGATACGCAACTTCAGCTACGTTAGTTCGACTTCAGCTATGTGAATATCTTAGTTCGAACTTACCGCGGGTCCACACGTGGCAGGCAGGCTCCCCCGTCGACTCCGCGTACTCCTCTCACCGAGCAGGAGTACCGGCGTCAACGGCGAGCACTTCCGGGATCGATTTATCGCGTCTAGACAAGACGCGATAAATCGATCCCAGAAGATCAATTGCTTACCGCCAGACCTGGAGGTAAGTATAGACGTATCCTTAGAGAAACCGCCAACAGGTAGCAAAGAACTGCATAAAATACAAGGGAGCCCCTCCTTGCAAAGCCAGGAGCTGCTGTCCATGGTGCAGATGGGAGAGTGAAAGCTAGATCAAATGGAACAGGACATCAACAGGGGGGCGAAGGGCCCTCTCTGCAGTAACAGCAGGAACCACAGGCTTCCAGGAAGCTGGAATGGGCGCTCCTGAATGGAATGGTCCTACGGGAGAGGGGTGGGCAGCAAGCTTGCAGAGCGGGAGGATAACTCATTGTGGGACCCCAGCACCACTTCCAGACCCCCTCATCAATACAATGAAGCTGGGCACGAGGCGGCAGGGAGAAGAGCAGAGGGTGGAAGGTCTCTCCCGCTAAAGGCAGGATCTGTATTGTCTAGGAAGTATTAAGAGGAGTTTAACAAGCTCCACATACTCAGGAGGCATCTCCTGTCCGGCCCAGCTGCCCTGCGTGTGCAGGGGTCTCTGCCAGCGGCTGGTACTCCACATCTGTGATCCACGTGGTACCGCAGCTCACGGTAATGCTGACTAGCTACGGCGAGATCTCCACCCAGCCGCCCTTGGAGCAATAAATTAGAAGAGTTCTAATTTATTTCCCTTCAGAAATAAGGGGTCACCGTCTTGGGAGACAACTGGCTGTTGCAATGCCCAGAGCGCATCCAATATCCCACGTGTCCAGAGCATTCGCTGTCCCTACCATGGGGTGCAAATCGGTGTGCAGCGTCCGAGAGACTACAGCTCGTCAGCTGGGCTGTGCGCAAGGGGAGCCTTCGGCTGGATATCCCCCTCCTCCTCAGGGCTCCCTTCAGCACTTGGGTCCCGGTGGCTTTTT